AATGGACTAATAAAAGTGAACAAGTAAAATTTTGATACTGCTGTTGCACTGTCAAGTCACAGAACAGACTTACTAGCTGCTATATCAGAAACAAAGAGATCCATAATTTTCCAATTTAAGGGAAAATTCCTCTTGTAATGTATAACTGTATTAGTAACTTTTCTATTTAACCTTGTTCTTGAAAGGCTAGAGGTCAGTGTTTTGCATGTGTGTGTCTGTTTGATAACTGGGACGGAGTGGGGCACACAGTTACATATTGTGTAGTAGGAGAAAGCTCAATTTTGTATTTGGCTGATGGTTTGATCCTTTATGGAGAATGAGAAGAGATAGTCACTTGCAGAAATATCTCGTTCTTTGTGTGTTTTGAGTTAGTAGAGTAGGATGTGAAGGTTCACTTCTTTGAGTGCTTTATCTTGAAATAAGGAGACAGGGTTGATATGGACTACTTAGGAAAGGATGCAAGTACCAAAACAGGTTGAATGTGGAGAAAAAAAACAGGAAGCAGATTAGTGAGGAAGACAATAAGGGAAATAAATAGTCATGTATTTACAACTCAAAGAAAAGAGGTGGAATTTTTTGTGCGTTTAATGAAATTAAACTGTGATAACCCATTTAAAATATTATCCTCCATTTCAAACACTTATATGTTGGATGAGTAAGACAGCATTCTGTATGTTGTCTGTTTCTGTGTCAAGAGGGGAAACACTTGCAACAGCAACACATGAAAAAAGATTGCTGCTTGTCTTTTGCATACCCATTAAACAGTGGTGAGGGGCCCCCTGGTGGTCTAGTGGTGAGGATGCAGCGCTCTCACCGCCGCGGCCCGGGTTCGATTCCCGGTCAGGGGACTTCCCCAGGCAGATGGAGCTCGTCAGCCCTGTAAGGCCACCCATCTAAGAGAAGGTCATTCTAAACAAACCTACGTCCTGAGGACCTCGCTGCCACCGTCGCAGCTCGCTCGGCCCCGGCAGATGAACCTCAAGATTAAAGGGTGGGCTCAGTTCAGTGCACACTGTGGCTGGAAGGGTAATGACCTTTCCCAAATCTTCGTTTGTGAAGACTGGCCATGATGATGAAGATGAAACAGTGGTGAGTGGAGAAATGTGCAAATGCAAGGAGGATGTTGGACCTGCATCTCACTAGCATTTTCCTTGGGCCTGTTAACTAGAACCTCTTAAAAACCTTTTACCTCCAGACTTTCTGTCCTGCCCCCATACAACTCTGCTCGCAGAAAGTGATATTTTGTTCATGGATCCTGCCACAGGATCAAGCTGAGGTCTTGAATTTCTAATGTCTCTAAAGTACCTTATATTTTACACTCTTTATACAGCTCTTCCAGTTGTAAAAGAGATGAGAACTTATATTTTCTTGTGTCCTTTATATTTGTTGTATGGTTTCAAATCAGAAATTTGTGTGTTCTTTAGGAAGTACATGGCACAACACAACCTAGTTCTTTACAAAATAACTCAGAAAATATTGCACTTTGAGTAACAACTGGGAAAACCGCAGGCTTTAATGGCAGAATCTCTGTTAGCTGCATTTTTGCTAGCTGAGTGTTTTCAGATTACAGGATTAACACCTGAAAATGATGTTTGAAATAGCTGAAGCTAGATTTTTGCACATGTCAGCTCTGAAATTCAACTTAGCATCTGCTGAGAGCACTTTTCTTACATGTAATAATAAGATTATATGTCTCCGCCCCCAAGTCTGCATTGTATAAAGAAGCAGTCATGGGCATGTATCTTTCAAAATCCTTCTTGGTGCTCTTGCCATCATTATCCCTGCTTTAGTCATGATATCCAGCTTTTTCTAAGTTTACAGCTACTGATAAATTTGTCTGTAATGCTGGGTAAAATCATGGTCCAAAAGCAATTTCTATAACAAAATTAGGAGAAAACTTCCTCTTTTATTATTGTGCTTTAATGCTTTTGTCAACCCTTTGTAGCATAGCTGAAATACAGAAGACAGAAACCAAAGCACTGACAAGGCAGCCTTTCTTCTGAAGACACCACTTTCATGAAAAATTCCATCTACAATTCTCCATATTTGTGTATGTGTCTAGCTGGTTGTCTGTGTAATACAGAAACCTTATTGTGACTAAGATTGGCAGTGGGGATATAGAACTTGACAGCTGCGCTTCATTTCTCGAATACAAGTTTTTTGCACATTTGCAATTCTTGCAGTAGGAAGTCTTTGTCTGAATAGTGGCATCTATTATGAACTTGGAATTGAGAATAGATCCTTGATTGCATAAAAAGCACAGAATGTCAAATATCCTAAGGCCAAAATAATGTTTACAGCAATTACTTTTGTCTATTACATTCTATTTTAGTGAAGTAGGAGGATTTTTGTTTTCTTTTAAACTTCTGAGGAGTACATGGGAAGCACTTCATGCTGTTCATATTTATTTTGTTTTAAAAGGGTTTTTACTTCTGTTTTCTCTAAGTATTCCAAAATGCCCACATAAAAGACCGCATTGTAAAATGTCCTAATTAGGAAGGTTCAGTTGGTCCTATGAAATGAAGATAACATGTAACTTAGTTCAACCTGATGGAAGTTTTCCCACTTAATCTGAAATCTAAAGCCTAGGGATTCAAAGAATCCTGTTTTCTTAGAAGTTTGGGGATATATTGGGATGTCGAACTTCTAAAAAGGACAAATAACTTACACTGTATTTTAAAATTCAAGACAGTTTCAGTCACATGCAGTGTGTACTAGAATGACCAGAAGGAGTATATGGTCATGTGGCAACCTGAATATACCTCCCGTGTCGTTGCTAAGGCATGGGTTTGCGTGCTTCTAGTCCAAAAGGGTGGATTCTAGAATTGTCAGATTTTTAATTTTGTTTTTCATGTTTAACATGTTGTTTGTGTTCCTCATCTTCACTTGATACTAAATATTCAAAGTTGTGAAAGTAGGAGAGATTTAAGAACCTTTTGAAGCTAGGAACTCAATTAGAGCTTTTTTTGTTAACGGTTTAAGAGCTGAGCCTTGCCCTTATGCTCTTGGCATGACTTGTTTCTTAAAAATCACAGATCATTACGTTCAGAAATGCTAAGGATTCTCCCTTATAGCAATGGGGAGAGAATGAAATTACGTGGATTAGAACTTCAAATGACTTCATCTTGTTTCATGTGTCTCAGGAGTGCAGCAAGAGGTATGCTCATGACAGGGTTTTGATGTTTTTCTTTTTTTTTTTTTTTTTAAATAAAGGGGTGCAAACCATCTGTGGAGCCCTAAACAGTGAGTGTTTGGAACTGTTCCTTTCCAGGCAGAATTAAAGCAGAATTAATTTGAAAGTATTTTTAAATAATTAAGTACAATGTAGCCAAACTATGAAACACACAATTTCAAATTTCACAGCAACAAATAGTTTGACTTCTTGGGTTATAATGATTAAACGTACAAGTCCTATTTTTAATTAAGTGGTCAAAGAGAATAAATTTGCCTTTGGAAAGCTTGTTTACATAAATCACAACAGTAAATGAACTTAGGTAATACATGTTTATTATTCTTAACTCCAGTGGTAAAGTACTTAAGAAAACTGAAACAGCAAAGAAACAAAGAAAGCAAACAAAATAAAAGCCATTCTATGCCATTTTCTGATTGGAGTGTGTAGATACTGCTTTGGAAGAGTTTCCTTAAATATGGTGTCTATGCCATGAATGTTGCCGTAGTACTACCAGATACAAATGCTTGCAAAACCAGGGATTTATTTAGCAAGGTCATCTCCAGACCAGAGTACTTTGGAAAATACTGTTTCATTTCCAAGAAAGAGAAAATTCTAAAAATGAGAAAAGTTGTTCAGAGAAAGTTGTACAAGAACAGAATAGAGGATAACCCTGGATTTTCACTTAAAGAATTCATCTAGCATCATTCACAAGCAGGCATGGGAATCTCACGGGAGTGTTTTGAATAGTTATATGCAATAATACATTGCACATTAGAAAAGGGATTTGAGGAAAGTATGGACAGAAACAATTAGCTGAGAAAGTAACCAGAACTTTAATATGATAAACACTTAAATAATTCCTTATGTTGTTCCTTTATCTTTTTGGATAGGTATGTCCTTTTTTTTCCCCCAAGGCTTTAATGAAATATTTATTTGTTCTGATGCAGCTTTTAGGCTTGGACTTGTCTTGGCTAGCAATTGATAAGTTAAGAAAGAAAGGAAAGAAAGGGAAGAAGGAGAAGAAAGGACGAAAGGGGGAAAAAGGGGGAAAAAAAAAGGAAGGAAGGAAGGGAAAAGTAATTCGTTTAATGTTGGCAGTCTCTTACTTTCACAGAACTGCTGTAACCATTTCACTTTGTATAGACACATGGCTTCTCTCATGCTTCTCTCTCTTCTTCATTTTCTACCTCTTTAAATCTACCAGCAAAAATACACATTGTTTCCTACAGTAACACTATGTTTTGCTGAAAGCAAAGTTTAATACAAAGATTTAATGATATTAATTGTACAAAACCAGTGAGGATTTTTTTCCTTCTTAACCCTGTATAACAGGCTACTTATTTACAGAATCTTTTAAGAATTATTTACATCGTCTCCTGATGCATCTTATTTATTTCTCCCTCCACTTGTTCCCCCCCCCATTTCTCTGAAGCTCTGGACATTTGCCATGGCTCCAAGGATGTTGAGGTGCATGTGCAAGTGTTGCTGTTTACTTAATTACTTCCCTGATCCTTAGTTGTGTCATTTTACTCGTTCATAAACTACTTGCCAGATTTTCGGATCAGCATGCCTGTCCTTTTCTCAAGATCATCTGGGAAGTTCCATTTAAAAAAAATTTTGTCATAGGGGTGCTAATGATATGTTCAATTATTCCCTTCCACAGAAAGTGGACCAGTTTGTGACCTTAGGTACTTTGTGCAAAAGATATGTATCTAACTGTCGTTTCCAGGCGTTTGGTTGTATGTGTGTGGTCAGCAAGTTACGGAGTCTTCTGAAACTGATCCCTTATGTGAAATTCATACCCATGTGATTCTATCCAGCCCTGTTCTGATAGCCCTATCAAAAGAAGTACCCCCAAGTGGATCTCCTCTGTATGTCAGGTAATTGATTATGGTAAATAATTTGTTTTCAACTTTTTTATTACCCATTGTCATGGGCTCTCAAAACTGCCTGTCTTGATTAGTATGGTCATAAAATTTCACACCATAATTAATCACACTGTTAATCAGTCTTTTGCAGCTTACTTAGAATGGCTTGGATAATTAGATGTGTTTTCTATAACTGTATTTTGTTCAATAAAAGGAAACATGACAGATAATGTATTAATGGAAAATTAATAATTTTTGAATCTTCCATTAAGCTTTTGTTTTCTAATCAAAGCAAATTACTGGTGCATGCATTTATATTTGAAAAAATATTTTTGTTGTCTTCATCAGGAGCTGTCATAGTCTTGTTAAAGGATTTCAGTGTTTTCTTACTATATAAGAAGCTAGAATATACAAAATATCTAAAGAAAACTGAATTAATAATCATAACCTGAAATAAATTAATGATCACTGAAGATCTGGGAACCACATTTATACTTGATTTATCCAGGTATTAATTTAGTGGTACTTTAATGCAATGATGCATGGGTGCTGTTGATATAAAACCTCAAACTCTGCAATGTTGACATTATTTTCTCTGCTGGGGTTTTTTTCATGTTCTTAGCATCTCCACCCTCACCTCAAATCCTGCACATGCCCTGGCACAATTTCACGGGAGTTTAGAGTAGGTTTTTTTTTAATAGAGTGTCCTGTCCTGGAGACCTAAAAATTAGAAGGTGGTGGCTTGTGTATGTTTGAAGTCCTATGACTAGAAGAGAAAAGAGGAGCACATTGTGGGTCAAAGTCACCAGCAAGCAAGCAATAGCAAGGGAAACATATATATATGCCTGTACATGAAAAGAGCAAAGATGAGGAGATATAATGGAATGGCATGTAAGTGAGCAATAAACATAGACAATCTAAAGGGACAGAAGAAACCAAAGGAGACAAAAATTATAAGCAAAACTTGGTTTGACTAGTGTCCATTTTGTGTTTGGTTTTGGTCTTTTTTTTGTATCCAAGGCAAAATAAATGAAAATTATATTAATACTAATCAGAACTTAACCTGCTTTTGTAGACAATTGCTATATATAATGAAAATGGGACTCTGTAATTAGGAATCAAACTCCTTTTTTATTATCTTAATCTCACTTTATGCTTTATTGACATGATAGAATATTTCCCAAAAAGTCTGTAGCTAGGCAGAGGCTTTTGTTGAAATTTGAAAGTTAGCTATGCATAATGCCCATATACTGACCCAAGATTACTTATTTTTTATTACATAGCAATTACATTGTTGCTCAAAACCAATACTATCTACCCCTTACAGAAGGCATGACATTTTGACATGGTACAAGAGAGTTTTATTTTATAATAAGATTATTTAAACTGGGAAATGGCAGTGGCAGCTTCACGAGCTCATGGTTATATGGTAAATTCGTCTTTTAGTTATGAGTCACAAACACATCCCAGAAACCTTGGTGAGCAGACCTGAGAGGCAGGGGAGTGACTATGCAACTCCTCAGGGACCCTGTCCTGGGACAGTCCTGGGACTGGGAGCCCGGTGTATCCTGGGATTTCTTATACCCTGTCTGGAAGTTTGAATTATGTAGTAGTCCCCATGTTAGTGGAGGCCTGCTGCTGCTCCTGTGAATTAGCTGGTAGCAAGAGAGCTGTTCATAAGCCACATGTGTCTAACCCCACACACTGATTGCCCATATATTAAATATGTGAGCATATAAGGAATTCTGTATGATGGTCTGTATCAGCAGGAGACAAATTTAACCACAAGGGGAAAAATTAGATAAAACTAATGAAGTACACATTCCAGAATGCAGGCAATTAGCCAAAGATGCATATTTTGACCCTGTAAGGTATGTGATGCCATTTTAAGTAGGTGGGAAAGCAGAAAAGCAGGTTTGCACATGTTTTTTCTTCTTGGAAACCATTCTATATTGTCTAGGAGCACTGTTTAGATCAGCTAAGCAAGGAAATAACAGTATTTAGTAATCATTGCTTCATTCAAAGAGATCGAGACTTTTGATTCCAGTGCTTCAGAATCCTTTTTTTAGATAATACTGTGCTGCATGAAATTAAAAGTGTACTGAACAATTTGAAGAGTAGGCTATATTAGATCTGGAGTGGATACAACCACCATAAGAATTTTATTATTTGCATTTGTTAGTTTTTCTGTAGTTCTTTAAGCATGCTTAGTTTCGTTTTTTGTGAAAAGGTTTTCTATTTATTGGAATGTTAGCTGGGAGCAACCACCAGAGTTGACTGAGCCAACATGCCAAAATCACCATGTATGGTATGGTGGGTACGTTCATGTACTGCGTGTTTTGTGACCTTACTGGTTCAGACTTTAGCACAGATGTCTTTTTCAAGTAAAAAAAATAAGACAAACTGAACACCCCTCCTAACAACACTCTTTAAAGGAACGTGCATACATACACACACACACACACACATATATTTATACTTATATATATATGTGTGTGTGTGTTTAAAAATTCTGATACAGGCAGAGTGAGTCTTAAGAATCCTTTTTTCTGTAAATGTATATATATGATGTGCAAACTTAGATGGTACTACTCATGTCTATGAAAAATAGCTTGATATTGAAGGATATTCAAAATAAAGTTTGGTTATAAAAGAGGATAAGCATTTTTCTTAGTAAGTTTTAGATAAAACTTTTGGTTTCTTGCCTCTATCTGGGGGAAATATAATTTCTAAGTGTCAAAGTTGTCTAACGCTCTATGAATACTCATTTTAACGTCATTTAATAATATGGTGATCAGCAGTCATTTCTATGGAAGACTTATGGACTACAAAAATACAGATTTCTTTGAAAAGTGGTAAACAGTGCTTTTAATCAGTGTGGCAGTTACAATATGTGCTTCTGATATTTTATTCTCTGAGACATTACAGAGACAATCAATAAACAGGTGTATGAAGGTTATTTAGTTTTCATATCTCCTATATTCCCAAAAGGATAGGACTGCTAAAATAACGGTGGATAGGATAGCTCTTGTAATACTATATCATCCTATATTTGTTCTGCATGTGCTCTGCACTGCTACTTTTGAAGAACATGATCCTCATGTGAACTTAGTGCTGCCTGGGGAATTAAGGGATTGAGAACAGCCCTGTAGAGAAGAACTTGGGAGTGCTGATGGCTGAAAAACTGCATGTGACCAGGCAATGTGTGCTTGCAAGCCCAGGAAGCCAGTTGTATCCTGGGCTGGATCAAACAAAGTGTGGCCAGCAGGTAAAGGGAGGTGATTTTCGCCCTTCTACTCCACTGCTGTGAGACCCCACATGGAATACTGTATCCAGCTTTGGGGCTCTCAGCATGAGAAAGACATGGACCTGTTAGACAGATGGCAACAAACATGGCCAGAGAGCTGGAGCACTTGTCCTGTGAAAACAGACTGAGAGGGTTGTGGCTGTTCAGCTGGCAGAAGAGAAGGCTCTGTGGAGACCTTATAGCAGCTTTACAGTACCTAAAAGAGGCCAATCCAGACTGTTCTCTGATTCTGTAATTCTGTGATTGATTCCATGATTCTGTGATTCTGTGATTCTAAATACAAAATAGAAAAAAATATTATTTGTATAATGTAAATATGTGACTGGAGTTGGCAGGAGGAAGGAATAATGGTTAAAAATTGCCAGACATCAGTTGAAAGTCACTATCCATCTGAACATAAGGAGAGTTGAGAGAGGGGTAATGTCAACTGACCATATATAAATTCCTTCCGCGTATTTGTGGAGAGTTCAGTCAACTGTAAGATAGCTTGATGAGGAATGTCTTTGGCTTAGATAAAATGGTGAAGAAGAGCTATTTTAATATCTTCAGTTTTGTGCTCAAGTCTGTGTCTTGACAAAGATGGATAGAAAACTTCTCAATGTGATCTCCTCCATTGCTTTTCCGGTGCAAGCAAATGTAGGGGGGGGCCATAAAGATACGGTAGATTTGTTCAAGGATCAGGGATGGAAGCAGCACCATTATTTGACTTTTCTCTTTGACAGATGACTGGAATTGAAGACTTGTCTGGAGCAAATATTACCTCTTAACATATTTGGCACCAACACAACTAGAAAGCTTATAAAGGAAAATAGTAATGTGCTAAAATATGAAAAGGAAAAAAATATTGTTTCCTCCATCCAAAATACACAATTTGTCCATTAATGCAGCATAGATTGTCTGTTGCGGGAGTAGTTTATTTTGTTCACTACTCTGTGTATGCAAACAGGTAATGCTTCCCAGATAAGGTATGTGTGGACATCTCAAACAACTTGAATGAACAGTTTCTTCTTATGTGATGATATGCAGTCTTGCTAATGATGGAAGGTTAACAAGGAGGTCACTGTCATTTTCTGTGCTAGCGTATCAAGCCAACACTTTCTTGCTGTTTTTTCAGACCTAATTATCTGTAAGCTACTACTGAGCTAGTAGCAAGCTATGTTTAGAGTAGTTTCTGTAGTAACACCTGGTAAGAACAGGGCCTACTAGCTCCAAAATCCATGGCAGTTGAGCCCATACAGCAATCTGCTTTCAATTTTCTCATGAGCATTCCTGGTTTTGCTTTTCAGCCTTTGGGAACGTTAGGGACCAGTTTTCCTTTTCCTCTCTAAAGCAAATGTCAACAGTCAAGATCCATAAACTCACTGTTGAAAAGTGAAAACAAGTGCTGACTTAGCCACAGGGAGTTGAAACTAGGTTGCTCCCATAACAGGTTTGCGTAGAAATAACTGCTATGATAGCTGGTATGATCTTGTAAGTTTGCTTTTTATTGAAATTTCCACATGAGCATCTGGCATTGTACTTTTGCATCATTGCTTGAATTACACGGGCTGTGCAAACTGTTTTGGGACACCAGAACAGTAACTCTTGTTGAGACCATTCACTCATTGGAGTGGCGTTGAATCAGTATTGTCTGGTGTTAGCCACTGCATCCCTGTGCTCTGAAACATGGCAGTGTTCACTTCTGGGAACTGTGCTGATACAGGTACAAACAGCAGGTGCAGACAAAGTGTGCTTTCTGGTTTGTATTTCTCCCCATTGCATTCTGAAGGTGAAATTAGAGCTATTCTTTACTTTTTGAGAGTTGCATATCTGAATTAGGTAGGGTTAGCTCCCTTGAAGACATGCGATGTGCTGCTATCCATTTACATCATCTCTGCAGTGAGAAATAAATCCAGCAAACAAGACTAATTTCATTAGCCTTAACTTTATAAATTTTCCACACTAGGCAGTTATCTAGTTAACATATGGATCGTACAATAGATGATCCCAATAAGACTATGCTGTAAGCCACTTGAGGAATTCGGCTGCTGTGATCAATCACAAGAGCATTTGCTCTAGGGCCATGTGTTATTATTTATAATATATACTGTTTATACTTCATAAAATTCCCTTATCACTCCTTATTTCCTAAAATCAATTTATTGAAAGAAAGAGCCAGAAGATTTATCACTTTTATAATAAAATATCTGACTTCACCTGCCAGAAGTAGCCAAATTGATTTTTAACGTCTGTTAATGATTTAACTTTCCCTTTTTACTGACGTCAGTGGAAGGGTGTTACCACTCCCAGTCCTCAGTGAAAGGGTATTTTCATTTTACAGAAAAATATACTGCTTGTCTCTGCACTTATATATGCTTAATGTATACTACACTTTAATTTCTTGCCAGTAAAATGTTTAAAGTTTAGGTAGAGCCTAGATAATATGAAAATTGGAGACTCTAAATGTGATGCTGGGCAAGAGGGCATAGAAAGGCTTTTTTTTCAATTATTCATATCTTATATTTACTCTTCTATTTATTATGAATACATAACTGAAGACATTACTTTGGTTTGCTTTCTTATCAATCTTCTGGTTACCATTCAGTGATACTCAAAGGAAGTACTGATTAAGTTAAGCCCCAAGAAGTGTGTGTGTGCATATGCATTTTTAGAAGAAAACACATTTCAAAAGGAATAGAAGTCATTAATTTAATCAATACTGTCTTATGACTCATGATATATAACATAAACACAGATACAATTTTCTTCATTTCACAGGAAAAAACATTTTCTTAAAGCAATCATTAGCATCATGTTCTGTGTAAGGCCAGTATGGATTTTAGTCTTAATTGTCCTTATGTGATAGATTTTCTTTGTTCAAATGGATTTTCCACTCTTATTAAAAAGTTGCTATAAATGCCTAACATTGATTATAAGTGGATGAGAGATTACTTTGAATCTAAGATCTTATCAGTTAAACAAAATGCATCTTTATTTACATGTTCTTCATAAAAAATGAGTTAACCAGAGGTTCCTATCTATCATATTTTCAAATTTTACCTAATGTCTGTTTGTCAAAAACATTTTACATAAATTTAAAAACTTTGGTTTGCCAATACTTTTATTTTGAGAGTTTTCCACATCTGGAAATGTTCTCTTGTTTCATAGTAAGAGAAAGAAGAGCACCCATTACAGAGTAGCCAGAGGGATGAGAAAGATGTGCACAGCGAGGAGTTTGAAATCTCTTTCTCCTGTTCATTTGTAAGCTGTCACTGATAACTGCTATTGCAAAGTCTTATAGTGTGGTTCTTGGTTGCTAAAGAAGGAAGCCGTGATGGAACGGTCATTCATTTTGGTTAATTCTCAAACTGGGAAAGAATTTTCTAGGCTCCCTGTTATGTCAGAAGCATGTGGGTTTATGCACCTTATGGAACGTGCGAATTGTTTTCTGAAAGTACCTATTTTGCTCTCTTCAGTATACAGTAAGCTTAGGAATACTGCCTTCTTAATTTAGCACATGCAGGTTAACTTCTGTTATCTTTGCGATTAACCACTCTAAATCTGTGACCTGGTGGCAGCTTGTGAGGCCACAGGCTGGTGCAGAGGGCACTCAGCTGTTTTGGAAGCATCACAGGAATCTGAATCTGGTCTGTTTAAATTTCAAATGATCATGTTTTGTTTTTTTTTTCTGATAGGAAAAAAAAATATTCTGAAATTTTTGAGCTAACAGGTGGCATGAGCTGTAATCATGAATACATTTTACCTGTTGTATTAATTCCTTAGAAGGGAAAGGTTCTTTCTCACATTGACTTTGAAGTTTCAAATCAGATTCAGTCATTAAAAAAGAAAAAAATTGCTATGTCTATATTCTGAATAGTAATCATTCTCGCTAACTAGTACTTAAAGTCATGTTTTAACCTGTTAAAATTATATTATCGAAACCATTATTTTTAAGGTCTGTCTGAAGAGCCTAGCCTTTTGACTGTTTTGCTCTGGGCAAAAGTGAAATGTTGCATTCTTCAAATCCACTTGCTATGACTTGAACACTGGGTAAGCAGTTATTGGTCAAGATAATATTGATATTTTAAATTACTTTTATTAAAAAAATGGTTATATTAAAATTAGGTACAGGATGACTTCTTCCTTTTCTTCCCTTTCTTTTCTCTCTCCACTGTCCGAGAAGATCACTCTTCAAGCAGAAGAAATTTTTTGAGATTATCTTCAGGTGACTGACCATTTCAGTAGTCCCTTTACACAGATGGATACCTGTGTTAATGGTGATATTAATTTTTCGACCTCAGGAGAAGACTATCCTTATTTTCTCAATGTCTTTCTTACACCAGGTTAGTAATAGCTAGTTTGTTACCTACTCTAACAAGAGCATAGATAATTAGTTATAGCTGTATAATTGCATTTTTCTCTGATAGAAACCACATTCCATGGGCTAAGTATATGAATGAGCATGCATGTGACAAGATTACTGACTGTGGCAGGAACTTATACCAGAGGGAAGGAAATCCCAAGGACAGTAGCAGTTCATAAAATATGATGCGTATACCATGTCTAAGAAATTTCAAACCTGGGAGGAAGCACTGGAAGGTAATCAGGAGCCTTTACATGTGGCAATAGATACGACAGATGTATGAATATATTTTTGTCTTCATTAGCAAGTCAGGTAACTCTGGCAGGAATTAGAGGACAAGGGAAGGAAGATTGGCAGAGACAGGTCACATGCAGTTATTATAAATAATTATTTATGGATTTATGTGGAGAAGCAACTTCACACTGGCAGAGCACATATCTCTGAGGGTGATGAATGTGTCGTTCAGTCAAATCAAATGCTAAAATTTCCTTACCCCTTGGAATCCGTATAGCTTCCTTTTGATTATATAGTTAGCATATACCATTTTTCATCAAGAAGTATGACTGCCCATATGGTGAGCAAATCTGTGCAATGTAACTATATCACTCCAGAAAATTGATTTCAAACGTGTCCATAGGTGGGAGAAACACTATAAAAAGTACACTTCAGGGCCCGCTGAAGTACCATTGAGAGTCTTGGCTAGCAATGTAGCAGCCTTTCCATTTGTTTGGCTAATTGGCATAAATACTCTTTCAGGGAGGTAACAGAACTGACAACAGAAAGCACCATGGAAAAAATTGCAGAGAAAAATGACTTGGCTTAATCATTGACACAGGATAAAGAATGCATGGTTCACATAAGATTGTAGTAAAAAGCATGAACTGCAAAAGGTTATCTGGGAAATCGTTGTATTCCACTTACAATAAGTTCTGTACATAAAATGACTTTCACAAGAGGTGAATTGATGCAATGAACTTAAGAATAAGGTTCTCAACAATTTTTTTTTTGGCAAAATGAAAACAAAGGACTGGTAATACAAGCTGACAAAATTCATTATTCAAATCAGAACCATGTCCTCAACTTTCTGCTAGCAGTCAGCTGTGAGGAAAAGTGTGAGTGGACTATTTGTGTAATCTACTGCAAGTACACTCGTGTTACTCCTTGTTTTTTTTAATTTGGTACTTCTTTGACAGTTCTTAATATATGAAGCACAACTGGTAGTTATTGCTGATAGTAGAAAAACAGTTCACATACCCTAGCCTTCTGTGGCATGGAAGGTGTACTGTGTGTTGCAGTTCTTATCAACAGAGCATGTAATCTCCATTGGCAAAACGGCGACAAGTCAGTACAAGCAGGAATCAGAAAGTTAAGAATGCAGCAATCTTTTAACACAGAGAAGTAATAATGTTATGTTTTCTTACCTACAGTAATTAATAATTTGTTGCAACATTTTGACAGAGGTTCTAATTGTCCTTTACTGCATATGTCATTTGTTGAAAATGGAAGCAGAAGTTGAATTAAGTAAAGATTTTTTTTTTTTTGGTAGAACATCTATGACACCCATGTGCACACTTTAATCACAAGTTAAGAGAGTAAGTAAGAGTGTTCTTCTCTCAGGGATTGGATCCAAGCTCTGAAGAAGCATGACTCTTTTGAAGACCTAAATAGAATTTGACATCTAACCTGAGTTCTGTAAAAACCTACCTTACAAACTGCAGTTAATAGCCCACACAGGCAACTGGATAAACCAGAACAGGCTTACTAAATCAAAAAAAATATAAAATTAGAAAGATTAAAAATATGCAAGATAACAAAATTTTATTTTCAGAGGCAAACATTTTTTACTAAGAATCGATGAGTTCTGGAAACATAGATGAAACAACTTTTTGGTTAGGTTAAGCACTTTAAGGCAATATAGATAGGACTGTGAATCATTTACATAGTGCAAATATTTTTTTCAGGCTAATCCCAGGTTTTTATTTTTTCTTTAAGAACTGATCAGTTATTCCACTGAATTATGCCAAAGTTCTTCTTAATCCAGCATTTCCTTAACTTTTCCTCATATTACACCTACCTTGTCCCATTCAGATCAGTGGTGTTGCCTAAAGAGAGACTGTAGAGGAAAAGAGGCCAAGATAAGATAAAGAGAGTAGGTCCTTTAATCAGCCTACAGGCCCAGGGAATACACATAATGCATACGTGTCCATACAGTGGTTCTATGATTTTATAATAAGGTCTATCCAATCCCAGATCTGTCCACCCCCAGTTCTGCCCCCTGACACGCCCCTTTGGGAATTGGGTCTGGGGGCGTTTGGGACCCCTTCTTCCTCATCTTTTTCTTCTTTGCAGCATGTATAGTCCTTGGAGCTCCTCCAAAGTTCTGGGCTTGAAGGTCACTGTCTGTGTGAGACCTTCTGGTCCCGGCCTAGAGTGCTTTTCTACAGTTCTATCTTGAAAAGAAGACTAAACATGCTAACGGAATTTAGAGGGATTGATATGAAATGGCGTAATAAGGTTGGGTGTGTGTAACTATTATGCTTCAGGGTAAGGGATATAATACAGCTACATTAAAATCTACATTTACTACACAACTACTTCTAAAATCTACAAAAGTTAAAAATCCAAAAAACTCTGAGGCATCAGTCCCCCCTTTAGGAATGGACAAAACTCAGTCTTATCCAATCTCTACCACTTATACCTAGCATTATACCAAAGGGATGACCAACACCTACAGCATCAGGTCATGTAATGAGCTCTTACACAAACACTAATTATGTATGTCACTAATAGAAACAGTTGTTTTATCCAGGTCCAGTTGGTAACTATGAAGTAAGTTTATAGATGTTATCTCCGTAAACCTAATGAGACATTCTCAGGAATCATCCAGTGGAGAATTTAAACTTGTTGCCAAATTTCAGTCATAGTGCAAATCCAGCACTCACTTTCATGAAAAATATTCGATGCATTTTTACTAAAATCAAATGTAAATTTTGGTTTTAAACCCGATCCATACTTATCAGTGGTATTAGACAATACACACAGAAAAATAGTTTAAACATAATTTTAACAGTTTGTAACAGAGGCTTTCTTCCCTCTGGGTAGCAAATCCAGGGTTCTTTGCCAACAGCTCTGACCACGATGGAGATGGTCAGCAGAACTTGAAACAGTTCTTTCCATTTGACTTGCAGGGGTTTCAGTCCCACTGTTTAGCATAGGCTGGACAGTTTGTGTTTATAGTTTGTGGGCTGGAACAGATGAACAGGATTGTCCAGTCCCAGAGGTCTAGGTGACATGAGGATTTCCTGCAGTTTCTGCAAAGCAGAGTCTAAACCATTCAACAATTCTGCAGATTAACCTTCCCTTATGTGAGTAGGGATCACGTTGTTTTTCCACCTTGGATTGTATGTGGATCTTTTAAAAAGGCCATATGCAGGACCTGAACCGACATCATAGATGTTTCTTAACAAACCCTGTTTGTTTGTGCTTTGTGAGCCGATGAAGTGTGACTCTCTGTCCGATGACAATCTTACAGGAAACCCAAATCTTGGAATTCCTGCATCTTGACTGTGTGAGAGGAACTCGAGCTTTTATAACATACAGTGATTAACTGCCAGTTAGGAGCTTACCAGAAGCAGGCTGTGTCTGAATGCAACACGAGACAGCACCCTGGCAGTGCCAGTAGTTCATCGCAGACAGCTTGTAGTCTCTGGACAGATTCCAGGCCTTATCGGGGGACAGGCCATCCTGCCACAGTCTGCCCCAGACTGCACTCAATCATCTTTACCTCATGGAGTGCTAGTGCAGGTACCTCTTGCCTCCATGGATAAAAGCATCCTCATGTATTGGGTTAGGTGCACTCATGTATATGTGCCTGTATGTGTATGTGGACACCAAGAGAACAGCTGTATTACAATAAAGCTAGGAAGCAATCTAAGCAAACCATTTAAGCGATCTAAACAAATCATCCCACTAACGATGGGGTTTGAGACCAGTTTGTCTCAAAGATTGCAGGCAAGATGAAAGTCATGTCTCAGGGTGCCATGGGAAGGTCCACAGAACCAGTGCTGTTGCAGTGCTGCAGCCACCTTCTCACCCCCCTTTTGCGTCCTAACACAGGACTCTTCTGTGAAACTCGGCGTTCACACACTCCTAGATGACACTGGATGACAAAGTATTTTAGATGCATAAGGTAGATAAATTTGATCTCACAAACACATGAAATCCTATCCCCACCAAACCATCCCTTTCACAAGATGCAGTAGCCAAAGAGACGCAGATATTCCAAACGGTGTTTGCAAAATGTTGTTAAACTTCTCTGTCCTAGTTCATCACTGTATGGGTGTAACCCAAAACTGTGTATTCTGTAGCCTTCCATGCCATTTCCCAGAAACTGTTATCAATAGAGCATTTACACCATCTGCCCAGAGCAGCCTGACCCCTCAGGCTATAAACTGGGTGTTAAGAGGCCTGCGAGATAAGAGGATGCTCCTGTCCTCACACCCATTGTGGAACTCCCCACCCTGAAGGAGGTACTGGGCATTCCTGCCTGAACTGGAGGATATATAATCTTGGGGTCTTGGGACTTTTTTAACCACTCGTGGAATCCAGAGGAAGACTGCAGACCACCACTCTCAACCAGATTGCAGACTACTACTCTCAACCAGACTGCAACCACCACTCTCGACTGGACTGCAACCACCCCTTTTCAACCAGACTGCAATCACCACTCTTGACCAAACTGCAACAGCACTCTCACCAACAGGTTTTCCCCTCTCCTTTTACTTTGAACTCAGGGGGCCCAAAGAACACCACTCTGTTCATGCCCCAGGGTGCTGGGTTATACAGTTGGGTTTAGTGGGTTAAAACCAATTGTTTGT